ACATTGCAGCTGGTAAGGCTATTGGTGTTGTGGTGGCCGCAGGGGGTAACACAGAGATCGGCAAAATCCGAGATGAGATGGCATCAACAGAGCAGGAGCGCACACCACTGCAGCAGAAGCTGGATGAGTTTGGACAGCAACACATTTCTCAGGGATCACTTGTCAGTCAGATGGGGTGGGGATTTTTTTTTTTTTTTTTTGTCTTTTTGGACTTGAATCAGAACTTACAGTTTGGATTTCAGCCATGGTTAATTGGTTGCTATTAATATTTATACTAACATTGTATAATTCAAGGTCATTTCACTTATCTGCATCGCTGTGTGGATTATCAATATTGGGCATTTCAATGATCCTGTCCATGGAGGCTCCTGGATCCGAGGCGCTGTCTACTACTTTAAGATTGCTGTGGCTCTTGCAGTTGCTGCTATTCCAGAGGGTAAGATGAAGAACTGCAAAAATGCAGCCTTGCTTGTTGCTGAGATGCTCCAATATTGTGCTATTATTCAGAACAGTTTGTTGTAAAATGCTGCAGTGTGGGCTGTTTTGCAATACTTCATGATACCAGTCAAAGGATTGTTTTTTTTTTTCATCACCTGAGTGAACTAATATAAATGGCCTTCTCCATTTCTTACTGTAATAACTGTTTATCTCCTCATGTATGTATTAATCCTTCTCTTTTTCTCTATGTTGCAATTTCTGTCCAGGTCTACCTGCTGTCATCACTACTTGTCTAGCTTTAGGTACACGCCGCATGGCCAAGAAGAATGCCATTGTCCGTAGCTTGCCTTCTGTGGAGACCCTTGGCTGTACATCTGTCATCTGCTCTGACAAGACTGGCACGCTGACCACCAATCAGATGTCTGTGTGCAGAGTAAGAGAAGAGTACAAAACTAGTAGAGACCGGGGGGGATGAATAGTGGATTAATGTCTAGATTTCTTATAGTTATTTCTAAATCTGATACAGACACACACCACCATCTAGAGACAGAAAAGAATTGTGTATTTGGTTGTTGCAAGGGATATATATATATATATATGTTAGTATTTAAGTCATGTAGATCTGAGTATGGCATACACATGATGCCTGCACCATGCGTCACAAAGGCACTGTATGGACGTCAATCTCCTCCCCAGGGCAACAGTACAGCTCACAGTAACAAGGCCTAGTTTGTTTACATCTAAGAACTTTTCAATTCTAAACCTTTCACTGAGCAGTGAGGCAGCCCTGACAGTAGGGATTTACTGAGCACTCGGCACTGCTGATGCTGAATAGCCCATAGGTAATAAAGGATTTGGTTGTATGTAAGTAGAGATGAAATAAGATTCACATTATATGTGTTTATGTATTTATTTTGTCATCCCTTGTGAGCATGAATCATTTCAGGTTGAACTATTACCTACTTACTCATTCTTAGTCTTTCAAAGTGTATATGATTTCTCCTTTACTTGCCATTGCTTCCCATCTCTTTTGTTCCCTGGAGCTTCACTTTTTTTTTTTGCCTCCTGCTCTGTCCCTCCATCTTTCTCTTCCTTTGATTTGTTGG